TACCATGCTTGGTAAATAGAAGGTCAGCAAAAAAGGAGAAGACTTTGAGTGAGATGGATTAACACAGTGCCTGCAACCATGGACATAAGCATAGCAAGGATTGTGAGGATGTCACCAGACCAGGCGATGTTTATCGTTCTCTTATACGTAGGGTCACTATGAGTCAGAGCTGACTGACTCAACAGCACCTAACAACAACAACAAACCTAAATGTAGCCCTAAACCTAAACCCTACTTCAAAAAAAGAAAAAGCAGATTACAGTCTACAGTTAGAAAAATTGCATTATAAACTTAATTGTTTTTTTTGTTGTTGTTGATTTTGTATTATTTTATATAAAAAATGTCATGTCTTCACTTTTTTTCTCTAATGTATTAAATCATAAGTGGCTTCTCACATCACAATGTGTAGATGACTTGAGAGAAGTTTTGCAAATATACCTGTCATACATAACTCACATTCCTGTGTATCTCTTAGGTACCACTCAAGGAACTCCTGAACCAAACTGAAGAAGAAATTAATAAAGTTCTAAATAAAAAAATGGGTTTAGAGGATACCTTAGAGCAAGTAAGTAATGAAACAAAGTCATTAAAAGAAAAAAATAAGAATTTTAAAACGTAAAATTTAAATGTGATTTGTTGCTTCTGATTGCCAGAGGATGAATTTTTTAATAAAATTAGGAAAACTGAGTTGACTATAACCTTGACTTAGAAACATTTGAAGTACAGTGAATAACTTAAAATATCCTAGACTTCACATTTCATTGATTGTATGATAAAAAGCTGAGTAAACTTCCATTTTTTAAAAAAAAGAAAAAACTGTAGAATTGCCTCCTATCGCTTTAGATAATTTAATACTGATTTTTATACTCAGGAGATTTGAGGTGGCTACCTTAAAATTAACAGTGATAAAGTAAGAAATTTCTTTTTAACAAAGTTTTCATTCTGGGTCTTGAAATTCAGGGAAACTCAAACCAAAATGGAAATTAAAGTTTTATTTCCAAAAGTAGTTTTTAGAAAGTTCCTAATTCAGAGATCCTTGAAACCTATTGCCAATATTCCTGAGAGAGCAGTACTATTGTATTTAATAATCTTTAGAGTAAACATTGTTATAGCCAATTGAGAAAAGTTAAAAGGCTCAAATGTATACAAAGGCTGTTGTTCCTACATTCCTTAAAAAAAAAAAAAAAAAAAACTTACTGCCATAGAGTTGATTCTGACTCACAGCAAGCAAGCCCCATTGGGTTTTCAAGGCGGTAAATCTTTACTGAAGTACATTACTGTGTTTTCCTTCCACAGGGTGGCTAGTGGATTTGAACTTAAACCTTATGGTTAGCAATCAAATGCCTTAGGCAATGTGCCACCAAATCTCCTTATTGTTTATGTAATACCAAACAATTAAAGGAAAACACTAGTAATTCAGCTCTTCAGAAACTATTGTGTTTTGGCTAACATATTTTAAGATATAAAATGAAATCATATAATTCAGAAAAGGATAGTTAGTGGTAATGGTTCTACATCATGAGAAATGTAGTAAGTGTCATTTATATATGTGAATTATATATGTGAAAATAGACCAGAAAGTAAAGTTGTATCTTTGTTAACTCCAATCTCTAAATTAATTTGAAAGGCAGGTTGTATTATAGAAAAGCTCCTGGGAGTGAGAACATCTGGCTTTGAGTTCTGTACATTTACTAGTTCTGTGACCTTGAGTAAATAGCATTATTTCCAGCCCCTCTCTACTCACTCTGTAAGACAGGAAAAGAACTTTACTTTCAAGGGATTTTTGATTTTTAAATGAGAAGCTACAAAGTCATTTAATGATTGTAGTTATTTGACCACCCTCTCTACCTTTTCCTAAACAACAGTGTGTTGTTGTTAAGTGCTGTTCAGTTGTTCTGACTCACAGAGGCCCTATGTACAGCAGAATGAAACACTGCCTGGTTTTGTGCTATCTTCACAATCATTGATATGCTTGAGCCGATTGTTGGAGTCACTGTCACTCCATCTTGTTGAGGGGTTTTCTCTTTGTCACTGATCATTTTCTTTACCAATCATCTTATCCTTCTCCAGGGACTGGTCCCTCCTAACATCATGACCAAAGTATAAGAAATGAAGTCTTGCCATCCTCGCTTCTAAGGAACATTCTGGCTGTACTTCTTCCAAAACAGATTTGTTTCTTCTTCTGCCAGTCCATGATATTTAGTATTCTTCACTAACACCATAATTCAAATACATCAATTTCTCTCCAACCTTCCTTATTTGTTGTCCAGGTTTCAGGTGCACATGAGGCAATTGAAAATACCATGGCTTCAGTTGGGTGCATCAAAGTGACATCTTTGCTTTTGAACTCTTTAAAGAGTTGTTTTGCAGCAGATTTGCCCAGTACAATATGTCATTTGATTTCTTGACTGACTGCTGCTTCCATGAAGTTTTTGTTTTCACATTGAAGTCCAATCCATACTGAAGTCTGTAGTCTTTGGTCTTCATCAGTATACACTTCAAATTCTCACCGCTTTCATAAGCCTATGCATATTTCAGGTGATTAATAAATCTTCCTCCAATCCTAATGCTACATTCTTCAAATTATCTGGCTGCTCGGATCACTTGCTCAGCATACAGATTGAATAAGTATAGTGAAAAGATAAAACCCTGACTCAACATCTTTTCTGATTTTAAAACGTGCGGTATCCCCTTGTACTGTTCAAACTACTGCCTTTTGATCTCTATGCAGTACCCACATAAACACAATTAAGTGTTCTGGAATTCCTGTTTTTCACAATGCTATCTATAATTTGTTATGATCCACACGGTCGAATGCCTTTGTATAGTTAATAAACCACAAGTGAACATCTTTCTGATATTTGCTGCTTTTCAGCCAAGATCCATCTGACAATGATATCCTTTGTTCCCTGTCCTTCTGAATCTGACTTTAATTTCTTACAATTCTCTGTGTACTTCTATAACTATTTTTGAATTATATTCAGCAAAATTTTACTTGCATGTAATATTAATGATATTGTAGGGTAATTTCTGCATTCCATTGCATCACCTGTCTTTGGAATAGGTACAGATATGAACCTCTTCCAGTTGTCAGGCCAAGTGCATGTCTTCACAATTTCTTGACGTAGACAAGTGAGTGCTTCCAGCATTGCAACTGTTTATTGAAATATTTCAATTGGTATTCTGTCAACTCCTGGAGCCTTATTTTTTGCTAGTGCTTCAGTGTGGTTTGAACTTCTTTCTTCAATACCATCAGTTCTTGATCATATAGTACCTCCTGAAATGGATGAACATTGATCAATTCTTTTTGGTGCAGTGACTCTGTATTTCTTCCATCTTCTTTTGATGATTCCTGTGTCATTTTTCTGTTTTGCCCCTAGAATCTTTCAGTATTGCAACTTGAGGCTTGAATTTTTCTTCAATCTGTTTAGTTTGAGAAATGCCAAGCGCATCCTTCCCTTCTGGTTTTCTAACTCTTGTTAGAGTTACTTTGTTACTTTGTTTACTTTGTTTTCTCAAACCACCCTTTGAAGTCTTTCCTTCAGCTCTTTTGCTTCATCATGTCTCTATTCACTTAGCTCCTCTATGTTCAGTAGCGGTTTTCAGAGTCTCTTCTGACATCCATTTTGGTCTTTTCCTTCTTACCTGTCTTTTTAAGGACCTTTGCTTTCTTCATGTATGATGTCCTTATTGTCATCCTGCAACTTGCCTGATCTTTGGTCATTGGTGTTCACTGTGTCAAATCTATTGTTGAGATGGTCTCTGAATTCAGATGGGATATAATTAAGGTTGTACTGTGGATCTCATAGACTTGTTTTCATTTTAATTTAATTTTCTTCAGCTTCAACTTGAACTTGGATATGACCAATTGATGGTCCTTTCCACAGTCAACCTCTGGCCTTGTTCTTACTAATGATACTGAGTTTCTTCATTGCCACATTCCACAATGTAGTCAGTTTGATCCTTGTGTATTCCATATGGTGAAATCCACATGTATAGTCACCATTTATGTTGTCAAAAAGAGATATTTCCGATGAACTAGTCATTGGTCTTGCAAAAATCTGTCATGCAGTATCAGGAGTCATTTCTAACACCACGGCAATTATTTTCCAATCAGCGATCTTTCTGTGCTTCCTAATTCTGTATTCTAATTGCAATATTATCAGTGCATCTCATTTGTATGTTTGTTCAATTTCAGACTACAAAAGTTGGTAAAATTTTTCAATTTCTTTATCTTTGGCTTTAGTGATTGGTGCATAAATCTGATTAATATTCATATTAAATGGTATTCCTTGTATGCATCTGGATATTATCCTATCATTGACAGCATCATACTTCAAGATAGATCTTGAAATTTTCTTTTTGACGGTGCACAGTGAATGCAATTCCATTTCTCTTCAATTAGGCAATTCCAGCATAGTGATTGTCAGATGCAAAATGGCCAATACCAGTCCATTTCAGCTCACTGTTGCTTGTTGTTGTTGTTAAGTGCCGTCGAGTCGTTTCCAACTCATAGCGACCCCATGCACAGCAGAACGAAACACTGTCGGATCCCGCGCCAGCCCCACAATCCATGCTATACTC